GCTCGAGGAAGAACTTCTAGAGCAGCAAGAAGAGGACCGGATGGTCGTCGATCCCATCATCCCTGTTCCAGCGCCAAAACGACTTGTGGCCGCTCGTAATTCTGCGACCGCTGCACCTTCCGGCATCCCTTCTCGCGCGACGCCCCGTCGTTCGTCGGGTAGACCATCGATACGACGAGAACAACTTGAAGAGGATGAGGAGGCCGAACGCGCGTACAAGAAGCGGCGAACGTCGTCAGACTTCCCTGAAGAGGCCGCCGTCGCTGAGGTCGAGGAGGTCGTTGCATATGACGAGCCACCCGAGGCAGATCCGAACGGCGACCAGTGGGTCGACTTGGACGCCGCCGATGATGACGACCCCCTCATGGTGAGCGAGTACGTCGTGGAGATCTTCGACTACCTCAAGGAGGTCGAGCAAACCACTATGCCGAATCCTCGTTACATGGAGAACCAGAAGGACTTGGCGTGGAAGATGCGGGGCATCCTCACCGACTGGCTCATTCAGGTCCACTCACGATTCAAGCTGCTGCCCGAGACGCTCTTCCTCTGCATCAACATCATCGACCGCTTCCTCTCGGCTCGCGTCGTGTCGCTAGCGAAGCTTCAGCTCGTGGGGGTCACGTGCATGTTCATTGCAGCCAAGGTTGAGGAGGTTGTGGCTCCAAGCGCGAGCAACTTCCTTTATTGCGCGCACTCGAGTTACACCGAGCACGAGATCCTCCAGGCGGAGCGATACGTGCTCAAGACAATTGACTGGAACCTTGGCTATCCTAATCCCATCCACTTCCTCCGTCGGGTAAGTAAGGCGGACGAGTACAACGTCCAGGTCCGTACGATCGCAAAGTACCTCCTCGAGATCCAATGTCTCGAGTGGAGACTGATTGCTGCGCCTCCGTCCTTACTTGCGGCAGCGGCGCTATGGCTAGCCCGCATCATCCTCGGTTTCCCTGACTGGGTGCGTGTGGCTCACGGTGGACATTGATGTTGAGCTGACTCCTGGATGCAGACACCGAATTTGGCGCACTATTCTTCTTACCCCGAGAGCGCGTTGTTTCCAACGGCGAATCTCATGCTGAACTATGTGCTCAAGCCTATCAGGCACGAGTGCTTCTTCAAGAAGTATGCAGCGAAAAAGTACCTCAAGGTACGTATTGTGTGTATCTGTACTGGTTGCCGCTGAGTGACGGTTCCCGCAGGCGAGCGTCTTCGTGCGTACTTGGGCAACGGATCGATGGCCCGAGGGGACTGCGGTCTCATTGCTGGACGTGCTGCCGGAGATCAAGGCGCAACTCCGGCAGCAATTGGCAGCGGAGGAGGCCCAGGCAGCGGAAGAAGCCGTCGCACTCGCCGAGGCAGAAGCCCTTGCAGCGGAGCAAGCGTTGGAGAAAGCACGGGCTCAGGCCAGTGCCGGCACTTACTGGTCGCAGAAGTTCAGCTTCGGCGGCGCACGTCGTCAATAACTGTGCATGCATACTCACCACCGACAACATGGATACCTCCTTCCTACAAACCCGCACAGTCTAGCGCATCCTCCCTCACCCTCCGCCGCATCAGCCCCCTGGACTCCGCACCGCACTGCATCTCTTGCATACTCCAAATTATTGTGTTCTCCTAGTCCCCGTCTGTGTATTCTCGCCGCCCTGGTGTGTTCTCCGGCCCTCCGTCTGCGATGATCTGTCACGTCATCACTACCGTCATCACGTCCTGCACATCCTGCACGCAATGTCTATAATTCTATTTGCTTTGTACTACAATGGCATCTCACGGTGAACGACTTTTAGATTCGTAGGACGGACTCCGGACGTCTCGGCTGTGGTTCACCTGTAGCATCGACCGTATGATACATGCATTGGCAGTATGTCTTCCCTCATATGAGCACGAAATGTATTCGTTTGAACACGGACTGCGGCGTGCCCTATGGGTGACGAGTCAATTTTGCCGGGGACCTCAACGTGTACGATCAATACTCGACTCGATCGAACGGCCAGCGCCCCGAGCCTCGCCTACGACTTCCGCATCTACGCCCTCGACGACGTCCCCGGCCGCTGCAGCCTGCAGGAGTGAGTAGGACGGGTTCCGGCTGCATGTTCGTCTCTCGACATGCGACACGGCGATTGACTCGAATTAGCAGCAGATGGCTGATCCCCGCCAGTGCACATCTGATAACATCCCAGAGCCAAAAACGCGTCGAGTCACCCTTCATATCGAGAGGCGCTGCTGCACACTCTCCGTTCTGCTCCCGCTATCGACCTCTCGCAACGGCGACCATGGCCTCTGTTGAGAGCATCACCCATTCTCTGGCGGGCCTGTCTATCCTGCCTGCGGCAGTCGTCAACCATGACCCGACGGACGCGGCGAACTGGCACGAAGCCCTGCAGGCGAGCGCGTCCGCCCCGAAGAGCTTCGAAACTTTGAAGACCATGGTGTACAAACCCAAGACGGCGAAGACAGCGACTCCTATTCCCCTCGTCATCATTGCGCGCGAGAGCACGGAGGTGAACTCCAACGCAGTGGGCAAGAAGCTTAACTTGAAAGAGGTGCGGGTCGCGTCGGAGGACCTGCTGAAGGAGTTCTTCGCCCTAGACAAAGATTCGCGTATGTGCTACTCTACATCACAAGACTACCCGGTTGACTGAATGGTATGCAGTGTCCCCTCTTATGCTGACCGCGGAGACATATCCCAAGGTCACGACTGTCCTGGATGCCTCGATCGCCTCATCCCCGTCACTCTTTGCCGTTCGCGCACGATCCTCGACCTCTACGATCTTCCTCTCTGGGAAGGACATCCTCGCTTATCTGCAGACGGTGCAATCTCAAGACGCTCCCCTGCAGGAGATCGACTTCGAATCGCTCAAGACCGAGGCAGGGCCTGCGCCGGCTGGTCAGGCGAAGGCCGCGCCGGCTAAGAAGGAGAAGGAGAAAGATGATGCCAAGATCGAAGGCGCCGTGCAGATTGCTATTGGCATCAAGAAAGAGGTCGACTTCGCCGCCTGGTACACGAACGTGCTCACCAAGGCAGACATGATTGAGTACTACAACGTCAGCGGATGCTACATCCTACGCCCGTGGTCCTACAGTATTTGGGAAGCTATCCAGGGTCTGTATACGAGGATGTTCCTACAGCATACCCACTGACACTCTCGGGGACAGAATGGTTCAATGTACAAATCCGCGACATGGGAGTTCAGAATTCATACTTCCCTATATTCGTATCAGCGAAGGTCCTCGAGCGGGAAAAAGATCACATTGAGGGTTTCTCTCCTGAGGTCGCCTGGGTCACACGAGCGTAAGTGCTGTTTCAGGTTCGTCACTATGCGTCGCTCTGACCCTCACTCAGCGGACAGTCTGAACTTGAAGAGCACATCGCTGTTCGTCCAACGTCAGAAACAGTCATGTATCCTTGTGAGTGGCGTGCAGGATTTGTCGTACGTACCCCGCTGACGTGAATATGAAGACTACGCAAAATGGATTAAGAGCCATCGTGATCTACCACTGAAGCTGAATCAGTGGAACAACGTCGTCCGATGGGAGTTCAAAAACCCGCGTGAGTGAACGGCCCGCCCCATTGATATACACCAGTGCTCCTCTGACTCGCACACAGAGCCATTCATACGAACACGAGAGTTCCTGTGGCAAGAAGGGCACACCGCACATCTGACAAAAGCGGAAGCAGACAAGGAAGTGCTTGAAATCCTCGACCTTTATCGTCAGGTGTACGAGGACCTGCTGGCCGTTCCCGTCATTCAGGGCGTCAAGTCGGAGAAGGAGAAGTTTGCCGGTGGTCTGTATACGACCACCGTCGAGGGCTTCGTCCCTACGACAGGTCGTGGTATACAGGCGGGCACCTCGCACTGTCTCGGGCAGAACTTCTCGCGCCCGGAGATGTTCAACATCTTCGTGGAGGACCCGAATGACACGACGAAGAAGGCGTACGTGTGGCAGAACTCGTGGGGTCTCTCGACGCGTACGATCGGTGTCATGGTCATGATACACGGCGACAACCAGGGGTTGGTGCTCCCGCCGCGCGTGGCATCTGTCCAAGTGGTGATCGTGCCGTGCGGTATCACGGCAAAGGCCTCGGATGAGCAGAGGAAGGCGATCAATGACAAGTGTGAGGAGCTGGCGACGACGCTCAAGAGCGTTGGTGTGAAGGCGAAGGCAGACCTCCGTGAGGGTTACACTCCTGGCTTTAAGTTTAACGACTGGGAGCAGAAGGTGTGTACTTCATTCCTCTCAATTCCCGCATGCTCATCGCATCAATGTCTCAGGGTGTGCCACTCCGTCTTGAGATCGGCCCTGCGGACATAGCCAAGAACCAGACTCTCACTGTCCGCCGTGACACCGGCGTGAAGGCGCCCCTCCCTCTCCCAGACGTCAAGGCGGCAGTGCCGAAGCTGCTTGAGACCATCCAGGCGGACATGTTCAAGCGCGCACAGGACACATACTTCTCGCGGCTCAAACAGGTAACCCGCTGGGAGGACGTCGTGCCGACGCTCGACGATAAGTGTGTCGTTGCGATGCCGTGGTGTGAAGAGGAGGCGTGCGAGGACGACATCAAGGAGCGCAGTGCACGATCGTAAGTGTCGTTCGCTTATTGTGACAGAGATTCTTGTGCTGATCTCCTTGTACATTGCAGGGCCGAGCCTCAAGATGAGCGTGCGCCCTCGGCGGGTGCGAAATCTCTCTGCATCCCCTTCGACCAGTCCCGTTGGCCGGCCATTGAGCCCGGGAAGACAAAATGCGCGGCATGCGGCAAGGATGCGAAGCGTTGGACCCTGTTCGGCCGGTCCTACTGAGTTGTGAGGAGATGCGAGGAACCAAGTGTACTGTAGTGTAGCTAGACTTCTGTGACTCATTTTTGCTGGGAGTCAAGGGTACAAATGCAATGCCTGAGACGCGTACGATCCCATACACTACTCTCGTTTGACTTATGTAGTGTATTGAACAAGTATTGAAGACTTGCGTAAGCGGCTTAACAAAACAAAACGGGAACAAAAACACTCCCTGGCGGGGAGTCGAACCCCGCTTTCGCGCGTAAAGGAGCAATTTGCCAGCCTTAACATGACAGGCGCGTGTACTAACCGATATACTACCAGGGAATACATCTCCCTAAATTAGCAAATACCACTAGGTCACGGTCAGCAGGTCAAATTGCAACCAATGAACCATTGCCACCAACTTTACAGCTGCCATCACCGCGATTTAGTACCATACTCACCAAGACTCACTGGCGCTCTCGCAAGGAGTCTTGAGTATGAAGGACTCTGATTCTGAAGACGATCCTGATTATATCCCTGCTCAGAATGATGGTTGTACTATCGAGTAACCTACATTGGCTTTTCTAATTTGCCCTGATGCCAGATTCATCCGAGGAGGACTATACCAGTGAGCGGGGTGCGAAGCGTGCTCGCCTTCATAGCCCGACGGAAGAAAACCAGCTCGAAGACGAGCAGTGAGTCGAAGAGCCCTACCTCTGACGTAATCTTCAACGTCTTGTACAGAAAGCGAGACGCTGTTTGGGCAGAATTCCAGGCATCGTTGTCTACGCCACAGCCCAGTGGATCCGGCACCGGGGCGTCCCAACCACGCATGGTGATCATTGAGAAGCGATACCGCTTTGCCGGAGAAGAGGTTGTGTAAGTCTTGTCTTTCAGGCCGTTACCTTGCTCCGCTGTTCCTGGTTGATGTGTTTGAGTATGTCGTCGCCAGGGAAGTGAAGGAGGTGTCTGAGGAATCAGATGATGCGAAGAGGTGGCCTCGATGGCAACCCCCAGACCAGGGCGAGGAAGACAAAGGCACGAACCCTTCCATCAGCCCTCAGCAACAGGCAGCATCGAAGCTGCTAGAGTCCAGTCACACACTGCCCCAATCGTCGTCTACTACTGCCCCCAGGCCACCGGCCAAACGGCCGGGGCCTCGCAAGCCCAAGACGAAGCTCGAGTCCCTGCCCAGTCCACAGAAAGCGAGAAAGCTCACCACATTGGGGAAGTCGGCCATGGATTGGCGCTCGCATGTGCAGCAGGACGGTCAGTCTGGGCTCAAGGACGAGCTCGAGGCAAACCGCCGCGGGGGTGGCTACCTCGAGAAGGTGGAGTTTCTGCAGCGAGTGGAAGAGCGAAAGGCGGACGCGTTGGATGCCACCACTTCGAAACGGCGCAGAGGTTAATATGCCCCGGCCATGTCTAATCCTTCTCGAGTGTTCTATGCCCCCGTATCAGCCGTCCACGCGACATGGACTATGCCTTTCACTCGTATGTATCCTGAATGTAACAACCTCGTTTTCCCTGCATCAGCATGGGCTTCTGCATGACATACACTGTCGACTACAGCCTCTGAAGAAACCCAGTTTCATTCATGCGCAAGTGACAAAAGCATTCGGGGGACGATGTTGTTACATACATGGGTAATGGGATCATCTACGGATGAGTATGCGAGGTATCGACGACTGAGGTCCGATTGGTGAGGGAAAGTGGCGTTACAGGTTGGTACACGAACAGGAGCAGTATGCATACACGCATGAACATGAATGGAGCGATGAAAAGGAGCTGAGCATGCATGACTAATGTGCTAAGTGGACCCTTTGCAAGTGCGCTTGTGGTCGGGCCAGTGCTGTTTCTGGCACCCAGAATCACAGTACCTGCAGCTCGCTCAGCCAACCGACGTCAGACCACAAACACCGCTGACGCACCTTGTCTTGCCACACCCGCCGCACTTCTTCAGGACCGCGCTCGGGTTCCCGCAATGCGAGCACCGGTAGAGCTCCACAGCGGTCGGCATGATCTTCGGGTGGGCGCAGTGCCTGTCCTCATCCGGCGCGTCGTCGACGCTCATATTCTCGAGCCACGCAGCGAGGTCGTCCTCCGCCTTCGCGGGCGACGGCAGGCGGTGCGCCGAGGCGGAGGTCAGGTCCATCTTGTCGACGCGCGCGATCACCTCGCCCCATGATTTGATCGCCATCGGGTAGTACCTGACGACGAGCTCGCGCGTCATCCGGACCTGCGTCCTCTGCGCGTCGATGCCGATGTGCTCCTGCATCCTCGCTGAGAGCTCGAGCTTCTTGAACGCATCCTGTATGCACATGAGTTAGGGCGGAACACTGTCTGCGTACACTTGCACTCACATCGAGCTCGTGCAAGTCGGGGCTGAGCTCAGGACCGCGCGTAGCGATCGAGCAGAGGATGTACCAATCGAGTATGGTCCCCAAGTTCCGTGAGTCCGGCGGCGCCTCCGCAATGAACCTCTTCGCATCCTCGCACGAAGACAGGAGGAACGCGAGTCCCTCGTTGTAGTCCCTGCCGCCCGCGGTCGCCTCCTGCAGCCGGCTCACGCCCAGGTTCCCCGCGTGCTCGACGGCGCGCCACAGCATATAATTCTTCACGAAGGGCGTGGTTTTCGTCGCCTTGAGGCCCTTCTTCACCGCGCGCAGGCCGTTCTCAGAGTTCGCGCCCAGCCCGATGGCGTAGTAAGCGTACGCGAGCTGCGGGTTGCGCTCCAGCGCCTTGTTCGCCACCCGGATCGCGTCCGGGATGCGCTGCTTGACGATGTAATACTTGATTTCGATCACGTCCGCGTCGTCGAAATCTACGGGGCGGCCCCTCGCGCGGAGCGTGCGCGCGCAGTGCGGTAGTGCATCGATCCACTGCACGAACGGGAGGCCCTCGTTGAACATCTCAGCCTTGCCCATGCGCTCGTCATAAAACTGGTACACGCCGTTCGTGATGGAGAACTCAGTGCGCGTGATGAGCTCCGCGAGCCGCTGCCCAAGTTTGTAGAGGTCCTTGTCGTCGTAGCACGTCTGCATGGCGCGCTGGAAGTCCGTGGCGGACCGCAGGGTCAGCGTCAGGTCGCACCGCTCGTAGCCGTAGTCGATCATCACGTCCGCGATGTCTTGCGGAAGGCGCTCCTGTACGATCGCCATCATCCGATTTGGGTCCCAGTATGTCGGCCGGTTGTCGGCCTCAGCGTAGTTCATGCGGATGATCCCCGCGAGCGCATTGCAGCGCGTCGTGATCTCGTTGCTGCGCAGGCAGGCGACGAGGAATGTCAAGAGCGGCGGCAGCGCTTTGCACTCCTTGTAGCAGTGCTGCGTCGAGATAGTCAGCAGGCCCAGCCCGTGACTGATGAGGAACGGGGAGGCGGCAGGCTTGCGGAGGTTGTCGGTGGTCACCTTGAGGACGGTCCGCATGTCGAGCGGTTGGAGGAGCTTTGGGTCGGGCGTATTTTCCTGGCCAACGACAGCGCCGATAGCATGGCACAGAACGACGATCACTAGTTCGGCGACCTTGTCGTCGTCGGGGAACTGCTCTATGAGGCGCAGTAGAACCGGTGTTTTCCGGGCGATCTCCTGCTTCGCCGCTATGCCACCGTGATGGGTAACGGTGCACAATGCTTGCAGCCCAACGTGGCGGGTAGAAGGTAGGTCCAGCACAGGCATCATCTTTGATACCAAGCCTGGGCAGTAATCTCAGTATTCGATCGTATTTCTCTGGTAAGGATAGGCGAGACATACCGTCCTTGAAGAGCTTGTCTCGGAGAAGCGCGTCCGCAGACATCTTTGCCCATACACCTACAATTCCTCCCATAACCCTCTCGTTGCCCTCGTACTTGGTGTACGCGGCGTCGAGCTTCTTGGATATTTCTTGGTAGTGCGCGTGCGTCTTTTTGAGTCCACTGCGCGTCGTCAGGTCTGTCATCGAGACCTTAGATGAGTTACACTTTTTATGAAAGAGTAGCCACGCACCAGGAAGCTCAAAAAAGTTGCAGAGGAACTCTACGGTTGAGTTCCATCCATCCGCATTTTCGATGTCGTGAGCGAAGGTGGCAGGGATCCTGTATTGCCCAGTGCCACTACGTCGCTGCTTCGTATGTCTCGGGGGCATACTGTAGAAGACTCAGTGATGAAGTTGTTGTGTCGAAATGGGACCTCAGGAAGAGCGCATCGTGGACGTGAATTTGAATAAAGCCGAGCAACTTGAAGTCTACTGATTTTGACTTGGACGCGTCGACATTTTTGATCGGCGCGACGCGTGTTACGTAACGCGCATCTACACGTGCACAGTAAACGCGAGTCTGTGCCTCCTGCATCTCTCTCTCACCCCCATTCTTCCTGAGCTGTATATTCCTTCAATTTTTCTGGCATTCGAAACAACACTTTGTCGTCGACATGAGACTGACTATATAGTACAATCTGGACGATGTGCGGGCGAGCGTGCTGAAGTACTGCTCCCGACTTCGATATACGGTCCGAAGTGGACCCCTCCGACAGCGATGGACCGGTTGGGACCCCTGAACCAGATTTCAGACGTGCTGGTACCCTATCTGTATGTCTTCTCGTCATATCTATCCTATAGATGCCTGATGGCCATGGCCATGCCCCTATGCACTACCTAGAAACCTACGCCCTCGCGCCTTCCCGGCCTGTGACATTTGTCTAGTTCCCCAGTTCACGTCCCCGTTCGGCGCTGCATCAAGGCGCCTGGCTACGTGCGTCACTACCGTCGCAGCTCTCATCCCCTCAGCCTGCATTCTTGCAATTACTGCTCATGCACACAGATGGCCACAAGCAGCTTTGGTGGTGCACCACTACACGCATACATGGGGCCCAAACCTAGAATGCGCGCATATATGCGGGCCGGTGCGCTCGGGGCTCTTCATGGAGACGCCTAGTTGCTTCAACGACCTCTGGACACATACCCGAGCGCATATAATTACCTGTTGTGACGTTTTCGCCGTCAGAAGGATAGATCCAGTAAGTCAACGCGTTGTCAACTTCAGGTGCACTCCCACTGCAACTTCCATCCCCCGCATATCCCACCCTACGCATCGCATCCCCCGCATCTAGCGGAAGAACCAGAACTGCAGGCTCCCTCCGATCGTCTGCCGCTTTTGCGGCATCCGGCGCGGGGATTGCTGCACTGACATAGGTGAGACCACCTCAGATCATCGCGGAGGTTGTGCATTGCATATGACGATTCGCGCTATGACGATGTGCTGATAAGACGGTTGTCACACGCCGGATACCCTGACGAGCTCCATCAGAATTGCGACGCAAATTTGTTGCTATGAGAGTTTGCGGCACACCCAATATCTGAAAGGCGTTGCGGCGGGCGTATCAAGACTCGCAAAGTGTGCCCTCAATTATGGCGGCGGCGTTGTGTGTGTCACACATCATAGACTTACAGAAATGTAAGCGACGCGTCATGCTCCCTGCCATGATCCTTATTAGATGGCTTGCATTACACGTCAATCTATACCTGCAGAATGCGGAGGGATACGCGTTGACGGACACGCTCGCGCACAAGTCAGCTGACCGCGTTTCTCTTCCCCTCGCTCATGGTTCTCTCTGGTTGTTGCCTTGTACTAGTATATACCCCTGAATGACTACATACGTATGCCTCCCTCCATAGTACGCAGATAGAGCGGACCGGCGAGCCACCGCACGCTAGTTTCCGGTTTCTCAGCTGACAAGAACACTGCACTCTGCATATTCATATCTGCCGTCTAGTGCCCGTCTCCTTGTAGGAACCATTCAAAGCGTACGATATCCCGTACTGCAGCGGCAGTGAAGTGACGGTCTGATCGATTACCTGAATTGATGAATATGAACTCAGCAGAACCACCTTCCGTAGCGATATATGCTTCGAATGGTCTATATTTCGGAGTCTCACTAAGCTCTAGACTCAGTATTGTGTGCAAAGAAATGCAGGACATCGCCTGTCATTTTCTGCCTGCAGTTTGCTTGCAATAGATGACTTGCCATTGACAAGAGATCAGTCGGAGGTTTCGTAGGGTCCACCTAAGGGATATGCGCGACACAGAACCTGCACATTATCCAGTTAGGGGATACCCTCCAGGCAAAAGATACGATGCCAATATGATTGACTGACTCTTGGTATGATATATGATAGGTTAACGTTATGGTGCACCAACACCAGCAGGAGGGGAGTTATGGTCGAGTGCGGCTTGCACGACACTTCAAAGCAGATTCACATTGCCAACGATCAAACAGAACGATGTACAATACACAGACTACCGGCATATAGAGAACACAACACTTGTTTTTCCTATCTTTCCAACGTGCTATGCTTGTGAGATACGCCGCGTCGACAGGGCGCTTCCGACACCTGCTCCTCCTCCCCTCGCTTCCTCGACTCAGAATGCTCTTTTCTCTGCCTCTCGCCTCGCGAAAAAAGGCCAAAAAGAATGCCTGTTGGCTGGATTGAACAACCGGCCTCACCATTACGTAATCAATGACGATTGGCTGTACATAGCCAAACATCATACGAGTGGCGCGCTCTACCACTGAGCTAAACAGGCATTAATGGCCACTGTAAAAACTCTGCCACAACCTACCACTTGCTGACCCTGAGAGGCTTCGAACTCAGGCTGGCTCCCGTCGACTCGGAACGGGATGGACTCGGGACAGGACTAATACTCTGCAGCCTGGGCTCGGGGGTTCCTAAGCTACACTAATATGCTTCTATCTGAACGAGACTGTCAGTTTTAGTAGCCACTTATAACCCCATCAATACCCCCAGGCTCGGGTCGGAAGTCAATATTTGCTATGCTCAAGGCAGTTGTGTTTACTAATGACCTGGCGGAACTTCCGAGCGGCCCCTGGTAGGTGCTGGCCCGAGTATCTCATTGGCAGCAATATTCTGAAACATTTCAATGGCTGTGCGGCGGTCCCAGGCCTTGGTACAAGGCCGAGGTGCTGATTAAGGTAAATCCCTCTTTGTTCATTCATACAATACAGCATCTCACCTTCGCCTTCTCTCATTCTCTTCGACGTGGGTGCCCCCAGCATCAAGCGAAGGTATTGGATGGAAACACCATGGGACTAGACACTTCCGCTCGTTTCTGCTTGCCGCAGAGCAGCTCGACGAGGGTGAGTGCAAAAGGGAATGTTGTACCTACAACGACCAGATTCTTTGATCAGCGATCCGAAGTTGTCAGTAGAGGTAAGTGCGACGTCTTGACCGAGGCCAAGACGATGGGGTCTAGATGCATGAACTCGAGGACACCGTTACTCACCCGGACCACGACTACAGTGATGATACGGTCAGCTTCTGGGGTTTGCGAAAACAGATCGACTACTGACCTAGTGACAAGCTTGCCGGAGACGACAACCGGCTCCTCGGAGTACTCGAAATCTGCATGAGATGTCATTCATAAGTCTGTGTCAAGTCAACCCATCCGCACCGGTCTCAAGCTGGCTCTTTACGCTTGAGTGTGACGTGACCGGCTGCCTTGGCAGACCGGATGATTTCGCCGCCAGGCTCCCTGTGCGCCGTCAAAGTCAGACAACACTACACCTCATCGCGACCGGTGGCGCCACATACCGGCGCAGATCATCCCGACATACTTGTCATTCTTCAAATACTCCCGCACCAAGTGCTGTATGGGCGAGTTTGTCGAGATCGTCTCCGCACCTTTCGCGCCGCCAGGGATCACCAGCAAGTCATAGTTTGCCTACCAACGCTGCGCATCAGGCATCCCCGTTTCTCTAGTATTCCCAAGGTACACAACGTACGGGAACGGCAGCATGCGGAGAGAACAGCTCGTCCGGGACGATCTTGATCCCGCGCGATCCAGTCGCATATGGCGGGCTTGTCGTGCCCTGCGAGGCGGCATCGGCCGCGGCGACGTACGCAGACGTGCACTTGAAACCGGCGCGCACGAGCGTGTCATAAGTGATAGTACTGTAGGTGTGATGCCATGAGGTCGCGAGTTTGCACAAAGTACTGAGACACTCACAACTCCATTTCCTCCGTTCCGTCAGCAATCAAAACGAGTGCAGATGGCATCTCAAGGATATGTAGTGAGATGAAAGGGTTACCCAACAACTTGACCGTCCGTACAAAGTGGCATGAGTAGGAGCTATAGATGATAGAGTCTGGTAGAGTGACATATGATGTCATGAGTGATCAAATTTGCATCAAGATATACTAACCCAGATATGTGTGCTGTATATTGATCCGATATGGTGTAGTGGCTAACATTATCGCCTCTCACGCGATAGCCCGGGGTTCGATTCCCCGTGTCGGAATCATTTTGCTTCCTTAAAGTCATGTCCCAGCTGCTCTATATTACTATCTCTGGTCAGCAACAAGGCGAAAGTGACACATCGAAAGCACACAAAGCTGCAGAATGTAAGAAGGGTATAAAGAATGACTTGTCACATTGCTAGACGGATGAATACCATGTGTGAGGTGCTACTAGTACTACACATCGTACAAGGCCTTGAAGACTTCTTTCTCGCCGCTCGCGTCGTTGGTTGCCCATCATGGCCTGATGGCGATCTTGAGCGCGCCACGGCTGTTCATCTTGTCGAGCGCGGCTTGGTAGTCCTCGAGCTTGAAGACGTCCGTGACCTGGGGTAGAGTATGAGCACGAACAATTGGGGCGTGAGACGGGGCAACATACCATGCCCTTAACATTGATCTTTCCGCCGTCGAGATATGCGACCGCACGCGGGAAGCAGAAGGCCTGCGAGAATGAACCGATGACCTGAGGGGAGTGTCAGTCTCCGTGTAGGCAGCAGGTCATTGCGTGCACACCAACTTACCTTGATCTCGTCTCCAAAGATCCTCGACGGCGGCCAGTGCACGAGCGCCTTGTTCTCGTACACACCGTAGATCATGATTGTACCTCCCCTCCGCACGTAGTTGATGCTCTCCTGCGCGAGCTTCTCAACGCCCGTCGCCTCGACGACGACGTCGAAGCCGTAGGGGTTGTCCGTCTTGAGCTGCTCCCACTGCGGGCCGGGGTTCTGCCTGTCGAGCTCGATGTACTCGTCGCCGGCGTTGAGCTGCTTTGCGATGTCCATCTTGATGCCTTTGTTCGCCGCGATAACAACTTTGTGGGCACCGTTCAGTTTGAGAAGCTGGGCCAGGATGAGACCAGTCGGGCCTGCACCGAGAAGCAGGACGTCAATGCCGACTGGCGGGTTCAGCTTGTCGAGACCGTGGATAGCGCATGCTGCGGGCTCGAGCAGCGTCGACTCCTCATCGGTAAGGTTATGGATCTTGTAGCACTTCTTCTGGTGGCTACGCAACCAGTGAGATACGACGCGCGAATTATGCATGCAGCACGCACTAAACGATGTATTCAGCGAAACCGCCATCCATCGTCACACCGCGCGCGTTGAAGTTTTCGCATAGCACTGCTTGCCCCCGCCGGCAGTAGAAACAGTTGTCACACTGTAAACGCGTAGATGAGACGACTTTCCACACGCATACAAGCACACAACGTACAGAGATCCCGACATCCGCGACGACTCTATCGCCAAGCTCAAAGTCCTTCACGTTCTTGCCCTTCTCGATGACCTTGCCGATTGCTTCGTGGCCGGGGATCAGCTGTCATCGCGGCGTGTCAGTCCCACTGGATGGCGCGGACATGATCGTAGACGAGGCATTTACGCACAGGAAACTTGGCGATGAACTCGCCATCGTGGATGTGGCCATCCGTGCCGCAGACACCACAACATGTGACTATATGCGGGTGTCAGTCATGCATGATGAAAGGCGGTCACGACCACTGACCTTTCAAGAGGACATCGTCGTCGTTGCACTTCGGGATCGGCACCTGCCTAATCTCGAATTTCTGGGGCTAGACCAACACGCGCTGCTATCAGACAGATCCCGCTACAACATGACGTATGCACTCACAGCGCTGTAATAGAGCGCGCGCATGGTTCCCTCGGGCATGGCGGATGTGTTCGTTGTCTGGCAAGGAGAAGGAGATGGGGGTCAAGACAAAGGCAGAGAGAGATACGGTGCGGTCTGCTGCGTCGTATTTATCGGAGGGCATCGAATCGGAGCGCCTGGCTTGCTTTCTTCGCTCGGCCCGGTACCTGACGTCACGCTGAACTCGCAGCGAAGCACTGCAGAGCTGAGAGGATGCGTCGCTCCACTTGGGACTCACTGTCGCACGGGGCAGCCGTGACGACGCGGTCCTGTGCGCCGTGACGGCCGGCGTCCGGTGTGCCCGATCGCCTCATACGGCAGGCCGCCACGGTTTCCGCGAGCGGCGCTGGCCATCGATGTCAATACGACTGCAACTATCAGTACCCTCGTTTACCAAGCCATGATCCGACGCCGTTGAAGCGTAGTCATAAACCAGTGTGCGTACGGCACAAAGTCAGCAGGCTCCACAGCGCGGGAGAGTACTAGGGCGCACGGATGCGAGTAGAAGGCGGCTATAACCTACCGAGCTCAGGGTGCGAGCACAATCGCCTCTAGCATCGAAGGAAGTTGTCGCGTTGAGGCGCGATCTGCAGGGCCATTAGTCGCGAAGCATGAGACCGGTACCTGTCAATACCGCCGGTACGAGGCCCAACGTTGCCACGAGCACCCTCATGTGTCGCGCCAGGGTCCTGGTGAACAACGTCCCGCTCCATCCGGGTGTGCAGCAACCTCCAAAGAGGCTGGAACGAGTTGGGAACGAGCACTACTTTTCAATTGATCGCACGGAGCAAACTGACTTCGACTGTACGGAGCATACGATATCAGTCGGTACAATGTCGCCTATTGTCAGCTGTGCATTCCCCATTGAGAGTAGAAGGTTACTACTCGTCGCGATTGAGCGTCAGGATATACGTCTTGCTGTCGCCGGCGGGTCGACGCGCCCGACCTCCTTCTTGGCCAAGTCCTTCACCCACGACCGCAGAACGTGCTTCATGACCTTCCCACTCGCCGTCTTTGGCAGCTCGTCAGGCACGCCGTCTTCCCCCGCAAACCACACCCAAGCGGGGGCATTCTGAACCCATAGCCTATTCAGTCACCCGAGCTCGCAGCCGATCCTGCCGAACATACCTGAGGGTTCATCCCCCGCGCGACGAACTCGCGGACTTCCTCGCGCGCGAATGGCCGAGCGTTGCTCTCCCGGACGATCCACGCACCCACCACCTCGCCCAGAACTGGATGTGGCACTGCCACCGCTGCAGCCTCGCTAATCGCCGGATGTGTCGTCAGGACGTTCTCGATCTGGACAGGGAAGAGATTCTCTCCGCCGCGTATGATGATGTCCTGCCCAACGTCACTACGCTGGCACTTATCTGGAGGGAGCTTTACGTACCTTGATTCTGCCGACCACTGTACGGGTGATTAGCGGTGATATCTTCTGAGCCTGCCAAACTCAACAAAAACCATACCTTTCAGGTATCCGTCTTCGTCGAGGATACCTTCGTCGCCTGTGCATATCCAGAACGTCCCTTCCGCGTCCGTCACCGTCGACCTCGCCGTCTGCTCTTCGTCATCCCAGTACCTATTACGTCTTATTATGCTCACTCGGATATGACAAGCCACGAATCAACG